TTCGAACATAACTCCAATGTTTCTTGCAGAGGGAGATGGCTCGATCCGCTCACCAGACACATCAACATACTCTACTAATGGGGGTGGACGGTGTCGTGCGCTCAAGATCAATAGCTCTGTCTTTTCTCTGTTTAGTTTCAGTTTATTGCACACCATCCATGAGTCTATCTCACAAACACATTCAGTGTATGGAATAAAGTTCACATACACATTCAGTGTATGGAATATCTCAGAAACTATTCAGTGTATGGAATAAAGTAGTATATAATTTCTAAAAAAATTCACGCAACTTTAAATGACATCTACTCAAAACTTTAGAACTTTCAAGGTAAAGGGCTTTGTGCACACTTCCAATCAATTCCTTTTAATATTCTTATTAAAAGGGGATCATTTGTACACCAACATTACAAATATTGATTATTGTGCTTCCAGTCGTACCTGTTTAACATGTCCCTTGATTAAAAAAAAAAAAACTTTTCCAGATTCTTGGAATGCCAGCATGCTTATTCGCCTAATTACATGTTACGCACAGTATACCGAGCAATCACCTTAATTACTGTAATTGCGTTTCACATAAATACTGCAAGTGATTCCTGCAAGGTGTTTACCAAGCATTTCAGTTTTACTTGTACAGCCATGCGAAAAGCGAAATCTGACAAAAGAATCTTCTTTTACTTAAACAATTGACCACATGTTCAAGTTCAAAATTCTACTTGTTTATTCTGAAAATATACATTAGCTGTATGCTAACCCAGAATCGAGTCGTTTTATTCCCTAGTAAACCGGGGGTAATTATGCCAAAACGAGTCTTTACATTGTTTTCTTTATTCTGTTTGTTTTCGTCCCAATAATTAAGGTTTAGCCTTGCAACGGAAACCCCCTTATTCAATAACATTCTGCGATAAGATAACTCTACTGTGTTGATCGAAAAGTTATACGCGTAAATTTACGCTGCGCTGTACGTTAACAGACAGGAGTCATGTGGACAAACTAAAGAATCTTATTTCTTTCGCATGACGAAAACATTACGATTTCGATGCCTTAATTAGTCCATGCTATATTTACCTGAAGAATGGATCTTCCTCAAAATCAGCAAAAGCACCTCGAAACATCGTTACGAAGAAGTAATATTCGTTTCCGACAAAACTGTAAGCTTCCACTTGCAACTCGCGGATTAATGACGGATCATCAAGTTGACAGACTGATTTACATCGCTCGAGCTCTCATGATAGTGCGCATGTGCTTACGCAACAACAAGTTGACGCGGTTACTCAGTCTATTGATTCCAGTTCCTCGCAAATCAACCCAAATGACAGAAACAAACCAGGCAAACTGCGGTGATCTTGTTTTATTCCTAATTTCAATAATTTAAAATATACAAACAAGATCGACTGGCTCTGTTATATTTAAAACGACATTGATATCAGGTAACTAAGTCCTGCTTTACACCTCTAGACATAAAACTAGTTTTATTTAAAATTGCTACTCATAAATCCAGAAGAATTAAAACAAGCTTTGCACTTACCCGTTTGTAGAGAAAAAGTACTTTGGGGAAACGTGGAAAGCTCTTACAGCTTGCCAACCGGTTTCACAAGTATTCAATTTGTATACTTCAAATAACGTACTTCCGGAGCGGTCTCGTACCCAGATCCTAACGTGTAAACATAACACACTTGGCTGTGAAGGGTCTGGATGCAAGACTATTTTGGGGAAGGAGGTTGAGAAGCTGTGCGTAGGATTCGCTCTTTTTCAGTTAGGTAGTTGCGTTAATTTATGGTAATTAAACTACTGAACACTTGATAAATTACCACTTCTTAGGACCTTACTCCTAAGACAAAAAATAAAAAACAGAAACAAGAACAAAACAAAACATCAAACATACAAAATATAAATACGAACAAACAAATATACAAATAAAAACCAACAGCAAACGAAACTGGAAACAACATTTTCTTCATGCTGCAAATACGATACTCTCCTTTCAAGAATCAGTCAGTCATGCCCATACGCCCTCCTAGCGTTTAGGGCAGCTACTTTCAGGATAGTAGGACAAAAATCTGACAGAAACAAAATTTCTACTTAGTTACTTTTAGAACTTTCGCGAGGCCTTACTTCACTATTGTAGAATCAAGTTATACTCTTCAATGAAGACACCTTGCTGAAAGCCCTAAACCTTGGTGAACACTAAACACCCTGACAATCAGTTTCCAAAAAAATTTTCCACACTATTCTTTACAATGAATTTGTTTCCCATTTGAGAGTTCCTTTAGTTGGTGCTCATTTCCATTATACTCGTGACCTTAATATGTGTGATTCAAGGGTAATACTGTGAAGGTAAATTAGTTGCTAGTCACTCCTTAATGACCGAAGGGTTAAAACGCATTAACCACGGAATACATTTGATACGGCACTCGCATCACAGCGAATTATTCATAAAAATAAAACTACTCACGGCAAATTCATAAGACTAAGAAAATACAATTCTAAATTTCTCCACTACTGTGACAACTGTATTAACTAATTCCTCTAACTGAAAATTAACTAAACGGATGCAAAATTAAGCTGCAAACTTTCCCGCCTCCTTTACGTGGCGTCGAAGTCTCAAACATGACAGAAACGTATATGTTTCTTCTACTAAACGCTTAGCGCTGTTTGTAACTGCGGCGTCTCTGCTCTGGCCAATCAGACGAAAGATATCATGCCTCTCCGGTCGATAACTCCTTTACGGTTCCAGAAATACAGATCTTGTTTGTATCCATCCAATCGACACTGTCTCCTGGGTAGCAATAAAAAAAGACCCAGTCGCGAGGTTGCTGCAGTTTTAAGGATCCCACCCCATCAGAACCTTGAATGCTTCTCCCTTCCATTTGGAGTTCTTTTCCTCACAGTAGAGAGGATTCATTCAAGTTGAACAAGCTACCTCGCTCAAATGTCATTCACTTATACAGAGGCTACCACAACCATTAAGTGCCCACTGTCCGCAGCGCTGTCCAAGAGGTCTGGGGAGACTCGGGCCAAGTGCTCCTGAGCGAAGTCGCACGGTGGGAAAATGTGAAGAACGTAGCTGGGCTGAGGGACAAATAAAAAATAAAAAATTAATAAATAAAATAATGATACAATAAAAATAAGACCAACAAGTTATTTTTCTTTTAATTTAGTATTCTTTAAAAACCTCGCTCACCTGAGAGCTGCCTGGTCGTGCCACATTGATGATCCCTGCCGCTTGTTTTTGTTGCAGATAATTGATGAAACCGCTCTTCAATGCGCGTGTTTGCGCGTGGACATCCAAAGGATCTCGGCCACAAGGCAGTGCCAACAAAAGACAGTGATCTTTGTCCGACTGTTGAGAAAATCGACAACACTGCGGTGAGCTCATGCGACGTAGAAAGCGCGATTAAATCTCAATACAACTAGACGCTCTCAGGAGTTGGCCAATACTCAAAAAACACTTTCAACGTGAGATATGTAAAGAACAAAAGTAAAAGAAAAAAAACCGAACGTCGCGTGTTAAGATTTGCTTTCAGCGTCTCCTCAGGGTTTGTTCCAAGTTACCAAAACGTGACTTTTTTTAATGCTTCTAATAAAAAAAATAGGCACGTCAAGGAATGTTTATCTCGACAAATTCAGCCTAAACTTTCCAGTTCGTTGATTGCATTCCGTTTGAATCTTCTCTGATATCCTAACATTATTGTTGCCTCTTCTGTACAATTCCATCTCAATAAACTAACAAGTTATGGTCTCCTACCAGAGGTTTTACACGATAGAAAAAAATGACCCAGTTTATGCGTAGTCTACCGTTGTGTCACGGCCCCATACCTGCATTCTCTTTATGACACCCTCCAGCTGTGACGGTTCCAACTTCATCCGCTGAGCGATTCGAATGGGAGGAGGGACACCTCCTACCCCATTGGCGGGAGCTTGCGGTAGGGATACCTCGGCCAAGCGACCGTTACCAGCCAGGTAATGCATCTGCACAGCTGCAGAGTCGTTTTTCAGAGCCAGTAACCCCTGCCAGACGACTGGATACCGCCGCAACAGGTCCAACAGCGTGTCCGTGTTCGACGGCTGTGGGACGGCCGACGAAAGGTTGTAGTCTGGGTGTGGTGGGGGAGGAGGGGGTAAACCTTGGGGAGATCCCAAATCTGGTGCCACAGGAACCCCAATAGGCAGCCCAGGAGAGTGCACTGCTAATGGAGGTGTCGAAACGTTGGGTGGTGCCACAACCGCTGGGTTTAGCGGTATACCAGCAGGGGGAATGGGACTGAGAGTAGCAGGGGATGATCCCAAAGGCACCGAACGGTTTCCATCGTAATGTAATGTCGGCGCCGCTATATCAAATGATGATTTAACCACCTGTGCGGGAAGCCCGTCTGAAGATGGGCCTAATCTTGACAAAATCTCGGTGGGCGGGAAACCTTCAGAAGCTTCTCGGGG